GAGAGAGAGAGAGAGAGCGAGGGAGATGTGTATATATATATATATATGTATACACACACATACATACCTACGTAAACGCACACACGCACACACACACACACACACACACACGCACATACAAGGCATCAGGCTTCAGTTTTAGCAGGCCTTGGGCCCATTGAAAGAACGTCTCTTGCCATTCTCGGTGGCGACTCCTTCACATTGCCTGGAAAGCTCGGCGGCTTATGATGCCATGTTCAGGATCGAAGATGTCCGTGCCGCGAATCGTGAATGCTGGCATGATAGCGACGCCGTCTTCATCCACACTTGCGATGTGCAGTGTGAGCGCATCAGCGAAATCCGCTATGGCCTCACAAGCATCAGCTGGCCATCTAGACATGTAAGTGGGCTGTTGATTTGCTGATGACTGTCATACTTGCCTCTTGCGGCTTTAGTCTGCCGGAACTTTATACTTCCGAGTGCCCGATAACGCCCCATAGCCGTAAACCCTGCGGTCTTGCATAATGCCCCTTACCCTCAGAAAACCCCGTATGGAACCCTTACAGGAACTCCTATAAAACTCAATTCACACCCTGACCCTAAACCCTAATCCTTAAAACCCTACACCCCTAAACTCCTAAACGCCTAAACCCCTAAACCCTAAACCCTTAACAACACACCCGAAGCCCTAGACCGCTAAACCCCTAAATACCTAAACCCTAAACCCCTGAACCCCTAACCCCTAAACCCTTAACAACACACCCGAAGTGCCCTGTGTAGGCGCCAGGCAGAGTGGCTTGGGAGTCGAGGTAAAGCCTTTGGCTTCTCCTGGCGGTGCAAAGAGTATACTATAGTATAGTGATAGTATAGTTTAGTATAGTATATACAGTGTAGTATACTATAGTATAGTGTAGTTTAGTATTTTTACAACTAATAATACCATGATCATCATTTTTAATACTACTGTTGTCGTTATCAGACTAGGTGTGGCTTTTCTGGGTGAAAACTGTAGGGCTTTAGGAGTTGGGTTTTAGGCTTTAGGGCCTTAGGGTTGAGGGTTTTGGCTGCTCATCTGCTCCTTGCATTTAGGATGCCAGCGTTGCTGCTGCCATGGAGTTTGGGGGTTCAGAGTTCAAGGCTTTGTTGTGTTTCTCAGGACCCCCTCATGCATCTTCTCGGCGGGCTTTCGTACTCCTCAGCAGCAGGAACTTGAGTGCTACACTAAGTGGTGTAGCCCCCTGGAAAATGGGGCCTGGCTTATATATAATCGATTTTTCAGATGCCTTATTGAGGCTCTATGTGAGAGTTTCCGAAAATGGGGAACCTTAATCTAGTACCCTTGCCCTAAATACTAGGATCCCTGTCTTTAAGGACCCCAAAAGAAGGTACCCCCACCTCTATCAAACTTCCATCTTAGCGTCTACTGAACGACAGCCGCCTTGGACTCCAGGTACTCTTTGATCTCGGAGTTCTGACATTGCTCCTCCGAGGGCATTGAAACATAAAGCTCACGTTAGGGTTCGGGGCACATGGTGTGTAACATGGGGTTAGGGTTCAATATGATGGCCTGAATGCTTGGAATAGTGTTTGGTGTCATCTTTTACAACAAACTATCGAAATTATACACCCTAATATGGAATTTGTAGAGGCCCTATAAACAGTAGATTCGTGTAGGACATGCAGTATAGATGCAGGAATTAAAATTACTTCGGAGTTTAGGATGAGCATCGCGTTGCACAGAAGGCCTGGGGTGCGGAAGTTTACTCTCCGAGGGCTTCTGCGTCAAAGCTTTCGAACACAATCTTAGGGTTTAGGAGCTTAGGGTTTGCGAGATCAGGGTTTGGGAGTCCATGCTCAAGGTGGGTTGAGGCCGGGGCGCAGCTTAGGTTTTTTTTTTTTCTAAAAGTGTTTAGGGTTTAGGGTTTAGAGAATTCCAAAAAAACGGCCCACAACTAAGCGCACGGGACCTTAGTTTGCGCGCAAGACTTCCTGGGTTGTAAGCTTTTAGCACTGCAAAGTGCGGGCTTCCCGACACGCCGGCCGGAGGCTTTGGGGGATTTAGATTTAGGTGGTATCCTGAAAGTACATAATTATCAGATACTCTCCAAAATACAAACCTACATACCCACTATCCTAAATCCGAGTACCTAACACTTGGGTCGGGTTGAGGGATAGAGTTGAGACTGCAAACCCCGACAACACCGAAGACTCATAAACAAAAAATGCTGAAAGCCCTTCTGAATCCCTGCAAAACCTCTATGTCCGTAACTATCACACCTCCAACAAAAGCCTGCACAAAACCTCCTGCAACACAATTCAAGTCCCTGTGAAACTTGGATTTCAGGGCTTCAGATTACAAACGCTCATTCCTTAACCTTATATAATTGCTAAGCAATTCGCGAAACAAAAAACAAAAACTCCATAAACATCTAAACGATCGTGAACATCCTGCATAACATCCAGCTTCTGATGCCCACAGCATACCAAATACACCCTCCATAACTCTATAAACCCTACATCCGTGGCTTCAGGACCCCCACCCCCCCCCGAGACGCTCCAGGAGGTAGCTCTTCGCCCGGTGAGCGCGCCACTCCCCTCAAAACGAACTGCGGGGGCTCTGAGAGTTTAGGGTTCATTTTGGGTTTGCTGGGGGCTCCCTGAACACAGATGGATCCGGACTTCTTGTGGGATTTCTGAGTGCTTCAAAAGGGCTTGCTCAGTTCTCGAGATGGTTCGCTTCCGTCGGGTGCGCTCTTGAGTGTTTAGGGTTTTGGGTTTTATAGAGTTTCAAATCACAGGTCCAAGCAATTCGGATCCGATTCGGGGTGCCCCTATTCCCCTACAAATTCCGGCTCAATCGAAAGGTTCCTGCATACTCCCGAAGCAACGCTGGAAGGTTTGAATTTAGCCGCAGTGTAGGAGTGTAGGTTTCGGGTTTGAGGCTCGAGGCTGATTCCCTCCAAGTTTGAGGGACTTAGCCTCAAGTGCCTCCCTAACACACTCATAACTTCAATAACATGCCAATATAGGGGCCTTAATAACTAGAGTAGGGTATTGGGGCCCATTAAACCCTAATTAAATAAGGGACGGCGAAAATAGTATAGGTAACTACGAAGGCCCCTGTATTATCCGCTCAGGCTCAGTTGAGAGAGAACTTTCGTGATGAATTGCAACCTTATCCTCGGACTAGGAAACCGAGCTTCGCACAACTCAGACATTCAAGAATCCAAACTAAATGGCCTGAGTACTGATGGAGAATTCTGCATCATCCACAACCAATATAGAAAAAAAACATTCCCGTAATTCAAGATTGCTGGTGTTCTCCACCAGCTGTTTAGGAAGACGTGCTGAACCTGGCATCATGAGCATCTTAAGCCCAAGGCGTTTCAGCTGCTCGCGCTGCAGCTTAAGCGACCGGGCTTTCTGAAACTCCTGCCACAGGTGAGGGTTCAGGGCTAGAACTCAAAAGAAACTTGTTTGCGGAAGTGGATGTGGCGGGTCAGCGATGCAGGACACTCCCTACCCTGACAAAACACAACCTTTTGGAGGGCCTCCCACAAACTAGGTTGTGGTAGGAAAGGGCATTTTTTCCTGACTAGCCGCAAGAACAGCTTCAGACTCGACAATCTGGTCGAAAGGGCAGGGTCCTCATTGTTAGCCAGTTGCAGCGCACATACTAGCCTCCCAAATCGGATATAGCCCAAAATCCCGAGGCTCAGACCCAATAGGGACAGCCCTGTTGGACTGCTGAAACAAGGCCACGCATGATATGATGTATGACCGATACATACTGTGTCGCAAACGATCCTACAATCCGGCTTAAGATGCAGAACCCAAACACGGAACCCTGAAGCAAGCGATCCTCGCAGAAAAGATGCCCAAACAAGGACACTACTGCTTCTTAGAAACTTCCAAACAACTCAGGGGTCATGGCTTCAACAGCTTAGGTTGGGTCAGGCTTGGGTTTCGGGGCTGCGGGTCTGGGGTTTACAAGCGTTGTGGGACTTAGGAATTTAGAAAATACTATGCGAAGTCTGTCTTTGAAATCCACCGACCCTACCTTAGCCTTAAACCCTACACCCGAGTCCCTAAAGCCCTAAACCCTAAACCCCAAACCCTAAAACCCAAATCCCCTAACCCCTAAAACCCTAATCCCCGAAATCCCCAAACCCCGAAACCGTATAGAACCCTTTATGGATCCCTTTAAAGGAACCCCATGGATTTCTTTAAAGTCGGGATGCTCCTGGAGTCGATTGATGGCCTCCTGCTGCCGCTTTTCGATGTCCGCGTTGCACTTGAGCTGGCAGAAGTCAAAACTTGAGGGCACACTCGTAGGGTCTAGAGGTTTAGGGTTTAGGGGTTTAGGCTTTAGGGGTCTAGGAGTTTAGGGCATAATACCTGGACATTATAAACAAACCTTCCTTTCCAGGGTTCCCTATGATGATTTCCGAGTGTAAGTCCTTGAAAGGTAAGTTATTTGGGGTTAAAGTATGCGTAAACCCTGTTTTACACATCTGAAACTCTGAAGCTCGAATACCAATGCGTAAAAGCCGTGTAGACTGCAAAGCCCGGAACCCAAAATAAGTGCAGGGTGTAAGCCGTTGGCAGTGTAGGGATTCGTCAGTGTGGCGCAAGAGAGACCGCTGAGTACCGTCCACGGCGACTCTGCGGCAGCCCTAAATGCCGGGTCAAGAAGGCGGAAACTACCTCCGAGCCAGCCTAAACACAGCTTGAATGATCCCCCTTCCCACCACATCGTCTTTTGTCTTCTTCTTTCGGCATTTCAATCAAAGTCTGCAGTGTGAGAAAAGAGCAAACGTGCCACATGCTTCAATGCGTGTCTCAGGTCAGTCGCGGATTTCTGCCATGAGCAGCCGCAGAGCTCTCGACTCGATGCCCGACGTGACTCAGGGCAAATCTACACACTTGTCCTTCACCGCCTGAAAGCCGTCGTCCGATGGTCGTATTTCTGTGACCTTTATCGGTGGTCTCCTTGGTCACCTTGAACTTCCTGGGGCCCATCACCTCAGACAGCGACTGAAGGCATCATGAAGCTTCGTGGGCAACACACGCACGGCGTAGGACTCGAAGCAAGATAGCTATGTGAATGAAAACACGACATTACGTCCTGCATAAGCCTTCGCGGGGCTGCTGGAGGTGTCGTAGCAGTAGTAATACTCAGTACATGCAAACAGTCACAGCCACGATAATAGTAATAGCAATAATAGAGATGATAATAAGACTATAGACACAACAGCGCAATATAATTAGCAAGGCGGAATATACACAGTAGTAAGACAAGGACTGATCATACTACTGACAAAGACCCCAGACATCCCTAAACCATATACATAGCGAGTTGTTGTAAAGGACTGTCATCTCCAAACCCTAATCCCTATTCATAGCGATACTGTTCCTATTGACTGTAATCATCTCTAAACCCTAATCCCTATTCATAGCGATACTGCTCATATTGACTATCGTCATCTCTAAACCCTGAAACCCTATTCATAGCGATACTGCTCATATTGACCATAGTCATCTCTAAACCCTAAGCCCTGGTCATATCGATACTGTTCCTATTGATACGGTTGATGATATAAATCCTGCATGATCCATAATAAGCAATATACCATAACTCCTATAGTCTAGGGTCATGAAGGTAATGCAGGATTTATATCATCAACCGTAAACCCTAAAACCCTATAGATCCCTTAAAGGAACCCCTTCAAGGTACCCTTATAGATCCCTTTAAAGGGACCCCAGGATGTATATCATCAACCGGAGGACGGGGTATCGAACGAGGAGCTGACGTTTCGGAGAGACGTACGTGGAGGTCCATGGGCAGTTATAAGGGCTCCTTTAAAGGGTCCCTTTAGAGGGATCTATAGGGATTCTATGAGAGTATAGGGTTTAGGGTCTACTTGATCCTCGTCCTCGCACGTTCGCCGGGCGACTGCTCGTCGGCCGAGAGGGCATTCGCCGGGTTCGCAGCTTGGGGCGCCGTGGCCGTGTGACCCTCCTCCGGGAGTTCCCTACCTCTCCCTAATTGAGGGTCCAGACATGTAGATGTACATATATATATATATAAGAATAATACATATATATATATATATATACACAATACTTCTACTGTATGTACGCCTATATATGCTGTATGTATATATATATATATATATATAATATAATATAATATAATATAATATAATATAATATAATATAATATAATATAATATAATATAATATAATATAATATAATATAACATAATATAATATAATATAATATAATATAATATAATATAACATAATATAATATGATATGATATGATATAATATAATATAATATAATATAATATAATATAATATAATATAATATAATATGATATAATATAATATAATATAATATAATATATATAATATAATATAATATAATATAATATATATATATAATATAATATAATATAATATAATATAATATAATATAATATAATATAATATAATATAATATAATATAATATAATATAATATAATATAATATAATATAATATGATATATATATATATATAGATGTATGTATATACAGATGTATATATATATATATATATATATGTATGAAGATGTGTATATACATATGTATATATATATATATATATATATATATATATACGGATCACCATCAACATCAACATCATCGACACCGTGCAAAACAATAACACCGACACTGACGCGAACAACACCAAACCACGAGGACAATGACCGGGTGAGACAAACATGAGCAACAGCAGTCAAGACCAATGACAGCAATGATCCGGGACAACGGCAACGGCTCAAACATACAGGCACAGGCACAACCAAGGCAACGAGCGCTCCACCGTACTTCCACCAACAACTGTGACGACGACGGCAGCAATAAAGATGACAGCAACAGAAGCAGCAATACCCGTAACCCTATAAACCCTAAACAGTAAACCCTAAACCCTACAAACCCTACACAGACAGTATAAACCCTAAACAATAAATCCTAAACCGGCTCTTCCTCCCGCAACGCACGCTGGGCTCGAAAGGCACTCTTTAGCCTTGGTGGGAGCAGCCCTACAGTAAGGGCCTGAATAAAAAGAGTTGGGTTTGGGGGCCCATACTAGTATAAATGTAGTAAGGAACCGCCCAAAATACTGTAGGTAATTATCAAGGACCCTATAATACCCTAGCTTTTTCTTAACGGTCTCCCTACAGGCTGCGGAGTTTAAAATCCATCAAGGTAGAGTTCAGGATCCAGCATCTAGGACTTATAGGGCTTCGCTTTCATTTATGTTCAAAGTATGGCACATAGAGTGGAGGGCTCGTGCTGTGGGGTTTAGAGTCTCCAGTTCGGGGCTTGACAGTGAGGGTCCATGTTGCGACATTATTGGTTATAGGTTTTTGGGCTTAGGGTTATTATACAATTTACGTATTGAGGTTTGAAGGTAAGTTTACTGATCCCAACAGGGACTTGGCTACATATCGGGGTCATCTACAGCTTCACTGCATGTCGTCTGATTTACTGTGGGATGCATGTGGCATAAACACCCACCGATGTCTTCGAAATACTTTCTTAACCCCTACCTTAACCCCGAATAACCTACCTTTTTAAGGACTTAAATAAGGATATCAAAACAAGGAACCCCCAAAAAGGAAGGTTCTTTAGGGTCCAGGTACACCCGAAACCCCAAACATGCTCCGTCTCCAGTCTATACGACCTTCATGCCTGAAGCACCGTTGAATCCGAATCTCCAAGTACATGGTCTCTGAAAACTTAGGACAGGGGTTGTGCTCCTCTAGTCGAATTAATTAAGACCTACCTAGACCCTAACACACCTACCTTTATAGAGTTCCTTGATATGATTTCCTTAAATAAGTACCAAAAAAAGCTGTTCTGGGTTCGGGTGATCAAAGGTTTAGAGCGGGGCACCGTCGCCACCGCAGGCCCGGTGATGCGACGCGACCAGCCGAAGGGGAGGCTGGGTCGCCTGCCCCAAGGACTGGACGGATTTAGGGTCCACCCTATAACCCCGCTTAGAGCTTTTAGGTTTAGAGCTTCATGGTTCAGGGCAGATGGTTTGGGATGGCTTAGGATGCAGGGCCTCTTGCTTCCTTTATTTCCCTGTGATTTCAGTGCAAACCTGCAAGCCCCAGCATCATGTTCCAAATATATCGACTTCGCATGAAGCCGTCGGGTGCCTTACTAATTACTATCGGGACCTAGAACTGTAGTACTTCGTCAACCCTAAACCCTAAACCCTACCTAAACCCTAAACCCTAAACCGCACTATGGCTGGGATCCTCTGGCGCGATGACCGGGAAGCAGTACAAGGGGCACACTACTGCTGATGGACAAAATCCTGCATGACCTTAAGGACCCTAAACTATGGGAATTATGGTATATCCCTTATATTGGGTCATGCAGGATCTTGTCCATCCACAGTACTACACGACGAGGGCTTTTGGCGAAAGCGTGCCTTGCCTGACGTACTTCCAGTATTCTAAACTACAAGACTAATGTACAACATAAAAAAATGCAAAATACATACACAAAGTCCTTTTAACATGTATGCATTATACACGTGTATATATATCTATGCATACACATATCTTTCAACAAATTCTCTTTTTTGCTTATTCATGTATTTTCCGTCGTACGGATGACGTAGGACATTGAGCATAGCTTGCCTGTGGACGATGCCAGCTGCTCCCGCCCACGCTGCGCGGCATAGGACACCGTGGTCCTCCCAGAGGTCACGGCAACCCTCAGGCTCTATAGCACACCCCAAAAAGTGGGAAACCTAGTTAAGGCCAAATAGTGCTGGGATTCCCTGTGCATTGCTCATAAGGATTGAGGCTATGGGGTTTCCAACTTTTGGGCTTCTACTGTAGGGGCTCGGCTTTTCAGGTTACCATACTATGTAAAGCTCTTGGGCCATTTTTTGCCTAGAGTTTGGGATGTAGGGCTTTGGGGCTGATCGTGTTTTCAATTTTTTAAACTCTTCCTGCACCGGGACATACTACAGCAATATGAGGGGCCATGAGGATGTATAGTTACAATGTATTCCGACCTCGTTTCTGACTCCCTTGTGACTTCCCAACCCTCCTGAAGCTTCTGAGGAAAGCTTAAATCACAGGTAGTAGCCACCAATGTTTTGTACGAACCCTAAACCCTCAATCCCGAACCAGGAATCCTAAAATCATGAACCCCGAAGCCGAAACCAGCTTGTCTAGTCCTGGAACTGAAGGTTTTCGGATCTCTGTAAGGGTGTCGGGGGCTATGCCTTTACCTAACCCTTAAGCTCGAAGGTTTTTTGTTTCAAGGCTCATATTCTACGGCTTTTGTGCCCAAAGACCCTACTTTCTCAGGCCTTTGGGCTATTTTGAGTCTTAGGGTACCTCCTGCCACTGGAACATGATTTACAAGAAGAGTGCTCCTTAGTTAACGGATATTGGGATATTGGAAGATCTGGGTCTGTTGTACTTCAATACCCCAAACCCTAAACCCTTAAACCGTTAATTGACTTAATCTCTGAACCCCAAGCCCCTAAACCCCCGAAAACCCCGAACCCTAGACCAACAGGGCTTGGTCCAAACTGCCAGCCTGTTGGGCTGCTGCGCTGCATAGCCGCTGCGTCTGAAGCTCAGTGGCTCCTCGGCAACGAACCTGAATGAGTCATAGGGACCCTTAAGGGGGGGGGGACTATACTTCCTTAAATAGGCCCCCCTCCCCCGTAATAACTCGAGGGTCATGCCCTACCTTTTCTAGGGTACCCAAGTTTTCTGGTTAGATCTGCTATTGAGTACCTTAGACAGGGGTAGGGCATGACCCTCCAGGTAGGGTTTAGGTTTTATAGGGTGTAGGGACTACATGATCGGACCCTCCTTGTACCCTCAAATGAAGACATATGGCCCTGATTAGTACGTGTTTGAGGTCTAGTACAGAATACATGGAAAGTCTAGGTAGCGATCGTGTATTTAGGATAGGGTTCTTCAAGGGTTCTGAATAAAACGGCTTCCAACAGGGTTTTTGGAGATTCTAGATCTAGAGACTAAAAGAGGATACGACCACACACTTCTAACTCCTGCAATGGACTCCTGATTAACAAACTACCTACCTTTTCCTTTTCCTTTGACTAAAGAACCTGGTCCCCATTCTAATGCCTTTTACGATGCCGGCTCAGAAATCGAGGTCTACACGTTATTCCGAAAGTCGTCGCCTCAACTCCTGCATGCCCCAAACCCTAAACCCTAAACCTTGTCTAGCTTCCCCGGTCTGGCTGTGAGGGCGTAGGAATAGTCATGGAACCCCTCGTTCCCATGCAGGGTCCTTCTATACGCACCGAGACCGGGACGACGAGTGCGTCATCTCAAGCAGGTCAGAACTCAGAACACTTAGAAACTTAACGGTTCAGGGTTCAGGATTTTTTGTATGCCCCAAACAATTGGAAACCGGATTAAAGACAAATAGTGCTGGGATTCCCTATACATTGCTACGCTTAAGGATTGAGGCTTTTGGGCTTCTACTGTAGGGCTTTCATGCCCAGAAAGCCAACACAGCATCATACCAACCTGCACAGCCGACAGAACTCCCACCTTCTGAACTTTGCAGTTACACTGTGCTATCACACGAAGTATCGCTGTGCGTATTCCCTAAAGCATACCCTGGGTCTTCGTCCATATGTACCACTGCACTACAAACTACCATACTTTCACTACTGGCATGGTTGCGTTCAATTAGAATAGAAGCCAGAAAGTTGGAACATCATTATCCCCATGCTCTTAAGGTAAAGTATAAGGGATCCTAGCACTAATCCTCCTAAAGCCATGTTCCAACTTTCTGGCTTCTACCATAGGTGCCTGTGCCCCTCAAGGGAACTAGACAACCTTACGCATCGGGCAGGCCGCTGGCGGCGTGCCAGGTACGAAGACTGTTTACGCTGCCGCTGGGCTGCGCGAATGGCTTCATCGTCCTTGTGGTTTCGGGCTTACGATGGCTTGAGATGTGGGGCTTGGGCTTCGGGCCTGGGGGATTGTTGGCTGCAGGCAAGTACTTAGTATCCTTATGAGGAAGCCCCTAATGCCCCAATAAGCCCTGTGCTAGAAACCGGTGCAGCTTTCACTAGTATTTTGACCCCTGCGACCCGCATGGACTTTTCCAAGACACAGTCACACCGGTCGTGGCCGCTCCGTCCGACGGAACTTCGAGGTGGACCGGCAGCGCAGGTTGCACTGTAACCTAGGAATTAATTTGGGTACTGCAGGGTTTGAGGATTCTAGGGTTCAGTATGTTCGGGCTCAGTATGTATTATGGTTGAGGTTGTATGTCTTTGCTAAATATTATCGGTCTGTTGCTTTACCTAGTGCAGGCAGCATCCAAGGCTTCATATCATATAGCGGCCTTCATCATCAGAATAGGGCTTCGGGGGTCATGATAAATATGGACTGCACAGGGATGCTACCCTAAACCTAAACCAATTACTACTAATTCTTCCGAGTCTGTAGAGTCCGGTCTCCCGGCTCAAACTTGGGGTTTAGGGGCTTACGGGCTAAGGGATTACCGTAAGAGCTTTAGGGTTTATAGGTCTTAGGGTGTAGGGCCGCGGGGGTTGGAGGCCACCGCGACCACGTTTGGCCGAAAGGCACAGACCCTCAACCCGAACCCCAAACAGAACCAGAAACTCTCAAAATCCTCGAATCTCCGGCCCCGTGACTTCAATTCTTAGCCCTACCCCTTAGGCTCTAAGGACTCATATTATTTTTGAAGACCATACTGTGGAAGGCTATTTTGAGCCCTAGGGTACTAGCTTTGCTGACTATACGGCTTCCTACACAGGTTGCTCGAAAGTTTAATACAGGAAGGTCAGTGTAACCAAAAGCTCAAGAATTGCCTTGCAAAAGTGCGGCAACACTACAGTCAACAAAGCAAACGTTACTGCAGGCCAACCTCGGCAGACTCCGCTTCATGCGGCACCTCCTGCAGCTTGGGGCTTGAGTTTTGTTTTGGGCTTCAGGGTGTTTAAGTTTAAGTCTGATTCAAACAAGATGGCGTAAGCATGTTTTGGAAGAGGGCCTTTAAACTAGGTTGTATGCTACATGTTCCGACCCCTACATTACATTTCATGCTGAATTGTCCTCTAAGCCCCTTGAAAATTATTTACTATATAGTATGGGAAACTAAAAAACGATCCCAAAGCACAACCCATATGGTTCAGGCTATCTCCTGGGACGGTTCTATATACCCCGTTCAGCACCTGGTTTCACAGCATTGCTTGGCGCAGCGTCGGAATTACAAGCTAGCCCTGATCCCTAAACCCCTAAAACCGTAAAGCCCTAAACCCTAAAGGGAACTCCAGAAAGTTGGAATATGGTTTCAGGGTAGGATACCCTATAATTTCCCATAAAGGGTTTAGGATAATCATATTCCAACTTTCTGGCTTTTACTGTAAACCCTAACCGTGGGAACCCAACGCCCTACTTCCAAAAGCCGGAGTCCCTAACCCCTCAACCCAGTAGGCCCGAGCTCTCCAACCCTGGAGTTTAGGGTTCCTTTAAAGGGTACTGTAAGGGTACATAAGGGCTTTTGGGGGGCTTTATTAGGGTTCCTTTAAAGGGATCTATAAGGGATCTATTATAAGGGTACTATAATAGGTTTACGGTGTAGCCCTGCGCCCTCAATTCACAGAAGACCCCGAAATCCTGAACCTTCCCAGATCTTCCAATACACCCTTCTCAAGGCATGCTCCTTAATTAAGTCAAAGGGAGACCACCTCAATTTAGGATTTTTTGGTTCATATAAGAGATGCACACTCACATATATGCATACATGTATATATATATATATACACCCATATACATATACATGTATATATATATATATATATATGCATGTAAACAAACAGTTAAACAGCTGTATACACTCGTGTGTATGTGTGTATATATATATATACATATATATATATATATATATATATATGCATATATATATATATGTATATATATATATATATATATATATGTGTGTGTGTGTGTGTGTTCCCGCGTACGTGAGTGTTGCAAGATCTGGACCATAGCCATGGGCCATACATTCAAATCCCTCCAGGGCCTGCTCCTCTGCAGGGCTTCCTGGCAAGGCCTCTGCCTGAGGGCTTAGGGCTTGGGCTTAGCCTCGTCTTAAGCCTCGAGACTAGGCTTAGGGCTCAGGCTTGGGGCTTAGGGCTTAGGGTTTTGGGGTTCAGGGTTTGGGGCTTAGGGATCTGGGGCCTTCCTTGGTAATTGGAATAGGGCTTGCGGGTACAGTGTAGTATCATTACAATGAGGAACCCTTGGAATACTATTGGTAATTTATCCCAAGATTAGGGTTAGGGCTTAGGCTTAGGGTTTCAGGTGTGCGTGATAGTTTGGCTGAAAGGAACAGTCGACCTATATAGTTAGTACGTTGTAAGTAGAGACAACGAAGAATCTCGCAACCATTCATAGGTATTGAAATTCATGGTCTTGGGGCAGGTGTCTAGCCTCTATGGGTGTAGAGACAAAATTCAGGGCCCTAAGTATTGACTGTAGAGACCGAGTTTGTAAAGGCGACCACAATCGTCCAAAAGTTATAGTTGTTGAAGCTGCTTAAGCTCCTTTATGCAAAGGGGTAGAGCATACTGGAGCACATTTTAACTGTAGATTGCAGACTATACTACAGTGGACTAGGTGGGAACTGTTACTGGCTCTTCAAACCTCAATCGTGTCGCCTCCCGCTAGGAGGTTGCATTAGCTCAAAAGTGGGCCCTGCACAGCTCCGACAGTGCGACATAAACGCCCTGTGCTTAAACTTCGCTGATTCTTCAAAGCCTAAACCGAAATGTTGATAACCCCGAGCCCCATACCCTGAATCCCATAGCCTGTATGACAAACAACCCTGTTGATAGTGCAGGATTTGTTCCGTCAGCAAGCTCATTACACATCAGCAGCAAATGGCAGCAAACAAACAAGCCTCAAACCGCCCCATCCCACCCTAAACCCAAACCAGAAAGCCTAAACAAGACTGAGCCTCCCTTAAAGAGAAAGACAAGCCGAGAGAAAACAACTGCCCAAAATACTGAACTCTAGCTCCTAAACCCTAAGCCCTAACCTAAAACAAAGAACCAGCTAAGTAAAACTCAAAAGATAGAACACAAAAAGCTATCTGTAAATAATAAGAATTGTTAAAACATATATGATCTTTACTACCCTCATTCGGTACTTCTGCGTAGGATGGTAGTTATGCAGGTTACTATTTGGGAGAGTATAAGATAATTAGGAGAACTCGGACCCTTGCGGTAAGACTCCAGGGAACCCTTTAAAGGAACCCTACTATACCTGTGAGACCCTTAACTTATTGCTGAGTTCATAAGCCCCCAAAACGTGTACACTTTCAGACGGTTTAGGGTTTAGGGTTTAGGGGTAATATTATTGTGGGTAATGTTATCCTAAAAAGGTGTAAAGTGTATCCACTCAGGTACTAAGTTAAAGAAACCCATTACAGGAACCCATTACCAAAACTTGAAGCCATGTTATGAGGTACCTACCCTAAACCCTAAATCCTAAACCCTAAGCCCTAAACCCTAAGCCCTAACCCTAAACCCTAGACCTTAAACCCTAAACCCTGAACCCTGAACCCTAAACCCTATAACTGCCTCTTCGTCCACTCCCGCTCCGGGGCTCTCCAAGGCTTCCTCCTCTGCGCCTTCGACCTCCAAGGATCCGGCGCTTGTACTTGGAGGTTCATGGGTTATAAGTGAGGTAACTATACTTATAACCCTTTGTAAGGGGCTTCTAACCCCACTTATAATAACTACCCATGAACCTCCTAGTAGGGCTTTGGGGGTTTGGAGGGTTTAGGGGTTTAGGCCTTTAGGGTATAGGGTTTGGGGGCTAGGGCTTGAGGGTTTAAGGGCTAGGGCTTTAGGGTTTGGGGTTTGGATTTTAGGGTTTAGAGCGTGGAGTTCGGGGGCTAGGGCTTTAGGGTTTGGGGCTAGGGCTTTGGGGTTTAGTGTTTTCGGTTTGGGCTTTAGGGGCCAGGGCTGTAGGGTTTGGGGTTTAGGGTTTAGAGTTTAGGGTTTAGGGTTTAGGGTTTAGGATTTAGGGTTTAGGGTTTAGGGTTTAGGGTGGGCCTTGAACAATGACAAGAGCAGGGTTGTTCAAGGGTTGCTTGAAAAGCTCGAGCTTCTTCAGTATGCTACTTATGTTGATTTAATTCTTGTCTCTACGACTTTCAAGGCGTGGGGAATATGGGGTTTAGGCTTCGGGTGAAGGGTTTGCACTGTCGCGATCTTCTACAAACAAAAACACCAAATGCAAAGGCCTCGACAAGCAATGTTGCAAGTATCCGTCCACTAATCTAAGTTACGATGAATTCATAAATTAAGGTACGGTACATATATCCCTGCTTGCTACGTCCGTGGTTCAGAGTTTAGGGTTTGGGATTTAGAGTTTAGGATTTCGGATTCGGTCATATATACACAGGACTTTTCAGACCTTATAAGCTGCGGAGTGAAGTGAAGCTTAGAGTTCAGGAAGTAGGATTTTAGGTTCATGGGCTTATGGGTGTAGGCAGGGTGTAGGGTTTGGGGTCTAGGGTCTAGAAGGAGTTCTGAAAGGGCTTTTTCGAAAGTTAGAAAACTCTTTTGTGAGGTCTTTGAAATGGAGAGTGCGGCTGCTCGGGGTCCTGGGGGCACTTCTTTGGCTGATGAGTTCTACCTGCAGGATCTCCTAAAACATAAACTGCACATCGGGGTCCAGGCATCAAGGTGTATTAGGGTGTAGGGTTTGGGGTTTAAGGTTTCCAAACAACCGTCAGCCCTGAGTGCGAGGGCTCCACCTCCGCCTCTGCACCAGAAGCATCAGGCAACTTTTTCGGTGGCTTCTTCCTTGGTGAAGTATGGGAAGCTCATTTCGAGGATTCGTGGCCTTCGAATTGAAACAGAAGTTCTAGGGATCTGTACTGATATTGTGGACTCTACCCGGGGCTTCGGCTTTTGAAGCCGTCCCTAAGCACTCAACCTAAACCCCTCTGTGATTCCAGGTGTTGCGTTGATAGGGTTTAAGGCGTGAGGAGGGTCGGTTTTTTTTTGGGGGGGGAGGCCCGGGGCCGGTACACTGTGGCAGCAGGGAGGGTTTCGGGTTTATGATTTTAGGGGTTTGGGGTTTCTAAGGTGTAGAGTTCAGGGTTTCTTGAAAAAGGATTACAGCCGATATGTTTTGTTACATCGCAAAAGGCCTGCCGTAAAGCCCAAACGACCCGTCAACACAAAAAGGCTTGAAACCCAGACTCAAAAGCTTAAACCCCTGAGAAACAGCAACTCCCTGTGTGGGCGAACTCTATGGCTAACAATCTGAAAAAACGACCGAGATAATCCGAACAGCATACAATGGAGACGATGACTAGACCTCCAAAGCCCAAACCCTTGCAGAACTCTAAAGAACCCCCTGCAAATCCTTTAAGGGTTCCTTCAAACCCTAAACCCTAAACCCTAAAAAAGGAGCCCTGTGAACAGCCCAGGTTCGCCGCCCGCTTGGGTGGGCCTCGCCGCACCATCCGTCGATGGCCCACGAGGAGTGCAATTTGTGAAGCTTTGGGCTTAGGGTTTAGAGTTTAGGGTTTGGGGTTAAAGGTTGCAGGTTTAAGAGCTTCCTGTGAAGGCTTCTGCAAAGGCTTCCTCTACATCCACAAGGTTAGGGTAGGGCTTGAGGCTCAGAAGAGTTCAGATGAAGAAATCGGTTCGTGCTTACGGCCATAAACTCTTAAACCATAAGAAACCGTTCAGGGTTTAAGGCTTTGGGGTTCAGCTTTTAAGGCTTTGCGGTGTATGGGTCCAAGAAACAGTTTTTTATCGCTTTAGGTTTAGGGTTCTGTGAGTTGTATGGCCTAGACAGAGTCGGAGGTTAAAAACCTGTAGTGCCAAACTCTACCAAAACCTGGCCCTAAACCCTGAACCCTAAACACCTAAACCCCATATTGGGTTCAGAGTTTAGGATTTAATATTACCCTATTGCCCCATATTTGTAGGACCAAGCGCTAAGTGTTCCAGGCAACTTCAGCATGCGAAGGCTGCGGAGCAGGGAGATGTCCCAAGGTGAAAGAAGCCTACGGGTCCATGTGCCCACATACGCTTGAAGATATAAATCCTGGGGTTCGCTGAAAGGGCTCTATAGGGGTACCTTTAAGGGGCTCCTTTAAGGGATCTATGGGGTTTTAGGGTGTAGGGATATAAATCCTGCATTACCCATAATAAGGAATATACCATAATTTCCATAGTTTAGGGTCCCTAAGGTAATGCAGGATTTATATCATCAACCATCGTACTCTAAGGGGTTCCTTGAAAGGGTTCCACTTATGGGTTCTATATAATAAGGGTACCATAAGGGTTTAGGGTCTAAGGGTCCAGGTGCCGACATAGCACCCTAAAGGGCTCCTTTTAAGGGTTCTACAAGGGTACCATAAGGGTTTAGGGTATAAGTGTCCCTGTTCCCCTATAGTAGATACTTTGGCCTTATGGAACCTATAGAGGGGCTACTTTAAGGGCATAGTATATGCCCTTTGGGTACATGGACCCTTGAGGAAACATCAAGACCGCACCCCGAAGCACCAAACCTTAAACTTAAACTCTACACCGTTTCAGAACAACACATCCGTGCCCAACAAATCCAGTAGGATTTAGGGCTGAGGGTTTAGGGTTTAGGGGTCGAGGCAGGTCCTCAACCCTAGGCCTGGAATCCGTTCATTAGAAACGTTCAAGGGAACTTTGTGAAAAAGCCCTTCCCCTTTCTAGTAATCCCGAAACCCTAAACCCTGACAGCAAACCCCTACCCTGAGGCTCCTAAGGGGGTCTTGGAGCTAGGGTCTCGGATCTCACTACAAGGGTCCAGGAGCCTTAAGCCCTGATCCCTGAACCCTAGAGTAAACCTTAGAAGGGGACCCCAACCTGTAATACTGATATAATAGAAGTATATAGGGCCCTAATATAATCCTTACAGTCACCATTACAGGGTGGGGGGGCGCTTCTAAAGTAAACCCTTGAGGCCGTGAGGCCTTCCACAGCCTCCTTTCTTCGGCGCTCGCAGTCCTCAGCAAACTCTGCAGTGTAAAGGGCCAGTTCCGGATTCCATAAGGGTTCCTCCACGGGCTCCTTTAATTAGTTGCTCCTTTCTAGGCTTCCACCACCGAAAACCTATCTTTGTGTGGACTCGTATAAAGAACTAATTAGAAAGATCACCAAAATAATGGTCTAGCCCTACACCCTAAACTCTGAACCCTACCTACCCTAAATCCTAAAGCCCTCACCTCGAGTTTAGGGCTTCAGGCTCTCGGTAGGGGTCTCGAGGTTCGGAATGGAGCTTGAAACTGGGGCAGATGTTAGAAGCTGCCCCCACCCTGTAATAGTGACCATAAGGATTATATAGGATTATATTAGGGCCCTAATATATTCCTATTATGCCACCATTACAGGGTGGGGGCAGCTTCTAAGCCATAGTACAGTACGGACCCTAGACGCCGAACCCCTATACCAAGTCAAATTAAGGAACAGTGTTACTGCTTTGTTGGTTTCCTGCTTCTATCTGCTGCAGACCAACACTGTATAGCGCAGTCTAAGTGATCAACGAAGGACCCAAGAATCGTAGTTAGGTGCTTGGGTTTCGGATAGTGGTAACGTAGGTAACTGTTTTGGAGAATAGCACTTGGACTCTTCACCCGAAAACTTAAACCCTAGCCGAAAACCCTTAAACCCAAAAATGGTCGAAAGCCCTTTCCCAAGAAGCGGGCTCATCGGGTGGCAGTGCTGGAAGATTTTCTCCCATCTTCTCCTGCCGTAGCTTTGGTTCCTTTAAGAGATATGGGAGTTTCCGAAAATATGGGACGATAATATATAGTACCCGAACTAGTAGGATCCTCATTATACGGACCCAATAAGGTGCCCCTAAGTTTTGGAAACTCACATATGGAGGTGAGAGGGCTGTAGCGTTCAGTGAGATGTCCAGAACCTAACATCGCCAACATGAAGCCTACCCTCTTAGCCTAAGGGTCCAGGTATCTCCTTAGGCGGGTCCGGAATCTTGGGTCTCTTTGGGGCCTCAGAAATCCTACATGTTGAGGTTTTCTAAGTGTTAGGACCCTTAGGGTAATGACTGAATCCGGAGCCCCCAACATGAAAATGCGCTAGCCTAAAGAACCTAAGTCTACCTGAAACCCATAGTCCATCATCTCCCTTGTGCTCATGCCGTCCGCCCAAGGGCTAAACCCTGAAACTAAAGCCAAATCCTTGGCTTAAGAGATCTCTGTATAGGGCCTGGAAGTCTGAACATGCTAGGGAACCCTAAGGCATACAACTGTTAGTTATCCAGGCCCTTAAGCTGCTACGCCTTCAATGGAATGCCGTTGCAGATTCCCTTGTCGTCTTCTTAAAGGCTGGGCTCTTGACCACGCAAGACAAAAGCAATCAATCGAGCAAAGGAGCCAGAATTGAGGCCAAGTGTATAAGACCTGAGAGGATCTGCATTGCTTTGACCGTGATACCGGGGCCTCAGTCATCCGAAGAGGTGTTTCGGGTATAGCATACAGAAGTTGCATCACGGGACTTAAAGTGCTCTGTACAGTTTAGGGTTTAGGGTTCAGGGTTAAGGGTTCAGGGATGATAAGCAACCATAACGAATAGTGGTACTAAATATGAGGACCCCTGTATTCGGTGATGCCCGCTCCTTGTCGTCGACATCCAGGGAGCCTGGGCTTTTGGCGGCCAAAAGTCAAAAGGTGTGGTGTTTAGTAGAATGCCTAGACCCTAATCGGAATGTGGTACCTCTTGTGAATTACCTGTTCTATGGTCAGGATCCCATAGTGAGAAAATGGGTAACAGAAAAGTACTACATTCTAGGGTCTAGGTGTATTGCCAAATTCCCAGGCCCAAGAAAGGGTTGACCTTTTGAAGTGTGTTTAGATTTTATGAGACCGCGCAAGGTGAAGAGCCAATAAGAAGCAGTAGCCCCTAGACCCCAAGACCCCCCAAAAATGCCACCAGCCGCACAACCCGAGTCTTTTTCAGAACTATATACCCCACACCCCCTTGACAACAACAGCTCAAAAACTCAGACGGCTGAGGATGTAAATCCTGCATTGCCTTCATGACCTCAGACTGTGGGAATCATGGTATATTCCTTGTTATCGATACTTTCTGGATTTATATCAGCAGCCGTAGCAACATCAAAAAAGAAACGAAGCCAAATCCAGATCCTATGGCCCGAGCACCGCGGCCCCAAACAGGGTAATGTAGGGGCCTAAATAATTACCTATACTATTTTGGGGGTTCCTTATTATAACGGATAATATACTCCAAAACGCTTTTCCAATTGTTAAGGCCCATATACTAGCCAGCAAGGTTAAGTTCGAGGCTAGCCGCCCAGCCCCCTGAACCCTAAACCGTTCAGGGTGTAGGGTTTAGGGTTGACGGTGACAAGGTCTTAGATTCCTTAAGGCTCGAGCTGAAGAGATCTTTCAATAGACCAGGGAGGAGTACAGCAGGGGAAAGCCTACCTTTACAAGGACCTAGATAAAGAAATCATAAAATCGCGGCTGCTGCGGCGGATCTAAGGGCTGCTGCTGCTGTCTGCAGCTGTCGTCGCAGCTCGTGGCACCGCTTGCTGCCCCGTTGGGGGAGCAAGGATTGTACGGTCTGAAGACACCAGCGCACTCCGGGCATTGAAGTTGCTTCTTCTTCTTGGTCTCCTCCTCCTCGTAGGTCCAGTATCCGGGGTGGTGTCCCGTTTCCGGGCACCACCACCAAAGGCGGGCTCGAGTGGAATCGGTCGGCTCGAAGGCCGCTGCCTCTTCAAAGGTTTCTGCTGCCGTTTTCGTGGCCTCTCCCTGCCCCGCATCTACATCATTTGCCATCACTTTTGTGCGACTGAAATGTCATGACCGAAATAGAAAGACTACTGACGAAAGATACGCAACTGTTCCTTATAAACTACAAATGCCCTGGAGCGACACGCGAACCTCCTATGGGTAATGCACCCATCTAGTATATACTTATAGGTATATGGACCCTGAGGCAAAGAACAACAGCCCCGTCGTTGCTCAGTCGCTGCACGGGTTCTTAGTAAATAATTGCACTCATGGCTGGTCTCACACAATGCTCCTTGTAGACCCGACAGGGCCGCAGCGTTTGGGGCTACTTTGGGGTTTGGGGCCGGTGTTTGGCATGGATTTATCAGGTTTCCGGGCTTACAGTGTACCTCGGGGTCAAAGCTAACATAGGTGCTCAAATCGTATGAAGCATCGTAGTACGATGGAGTCCTGTCCAACCAGCAAGAGGAACCAGTTCTGAAAACTGGCTCTTCCGCAATCGCCACAAGTCCTATAATGAGTATAAGACCCTTCTGAAAAAAATACATAACAAACACGTATGTGTATGCACATATGTATGGGTATTTGTCCATCAATAACTAAATCAATAAACAAGCAAGAAACAAGTAAGTACACAGGTACAAGTGTACAACACGTGATATGTGTGTTCATTCCTCCTATGTAGTCTACAGAAATCCTAC